CCCACCCCAAAACTATATATACAAATGCTGGGCAAAAAGAGACAAATGCAGTCACGATATTAGAATTGATCCTGGGGTCTGGCCACAACCCTAGGGACCTAGTTTCTGAGTCAAAGCTTGGAAACAGTTGAGATCCCCACCCCATAACCATACATAAAATTGCTGGGCATGAAGAATCTAATACAGATATGCTACAAGGATTGGCCTTGGGGTCTGGCATATTCCCTTGATCTCATTCGGAGAATATTTTGCCGTGATTGCTTGGTATCCAGGTGAGCGATACAGGCCCTCTGGGCCTCTTGTTTATGAGAAATTATGGTATGCTATTTGTCCATCTGTTAACATTTTCTGGTCCAGAACATAAAATCAGAACCAAATTCACACAATGTATTTTTCACCTGTGTCATTAATGAAAAAGATCAACAGGCTGATTACATCTCGCCTCGGACTGAAGGGAGACTTATCGTGCCAGTACCAGTTGTTCTTCTTGCTCCTAATATATAGCCCGATATCTTAATGAAACTTGAGGTATAACTGCATCACCCCAAGGAGGTGTGCAGTGCTCCATAATTAGGTCATGGATCTCCACTTCAAGTTCAAAGGTCAAATAAGCACAGAAGTATCACCAAAATCTTGCCCAGATAGTGCCATTGAGAGATTTCTTCCATTGATGGTGTGAAGTGCACTGTAATTAGGTCACTGTGATCTTGGCCTCAAGGTCACATTTGCGCTTAATTTCCAGCAAAGTTAGTTAAAGGTCGGACAAGTGCATAAATCTCCGTGAAATGTCCGAGCTGTAAATTTATAACTATTGGAGAATATAAGTGTACTGATGCATATTGGCTCCATTTATATTCTGTTAAGTAATCTTTTTATTTTTAGATTGTTGCTTTTGACAAATGGTTTTATTAAGATGTTAAGTTACTCATTGATGGTATTTGGTCGTTGTACATTGATGGTACTTAGCAGTACAAACAGGGATAAACAGTTTCCTATCTAGAGTACTAGCGCACACAGATTTCCAAAATATACTTAGGTCAAGACATGAAGTCTACAGCTATTAACGGTACTCAACTATGGTCTCTTTGTCATTAGTGGGTCTGGATTTGATCGCACTGTAAAAAATTGATACACATTTCCTGAGTATTATCTTTCAGAAACATGCATGTAATTACTACAATCTAGTACAAGGTCTGTAAATGAAATTTGTACCTTTTCCTGGTGTATCTTGTTCAATACGAAATATTGTATTATAGTGATCCAAAATTTAAAGCATGCAGTCAAATGGACACATGTGAAGCTCTGAATTAAATTCATGATTTATTTAAAATTAAATATTATTTTTTATGTTGAAATAGTTATTTTATGCATAGACATCTCATCTGAGGGCTGAAAATTAGCAGTGTTTACCTGTACACTTATTAATTTGACTAGGTCAACCAAGTATTACTGTATATATACACCAGTGACATGATCAATAACAATGGCAGCTTTTTTCGAAATTAAAATGTTTCCCCCCATTCTTTCCTGTCTCAGGTTTCTTCATTTCACTCCGATTGGAATAATGATTTTGTTGTTACTTCATTTACATTTATCACATTACATACCTATACCCAGTTTAATCAATTCATAACTGTTGTCAAATTTAAGGAATCACATTTTCTACCAGGTATCTATATCTATCGGGGAATGATCCGGGTATACATACAATATTTGCTTTCTAAATTTTCACAACTGTTATGAATTGATGGAAAATTAAATGTTAGTTGTTATATGTTAACACTTGAAAACACTTGATTCAGCTTCATCTGTGGAGCTGAATCTTTACTTGATTTCTTGATGCATTGAAACATATCAAAAAGAACCCTGTATACAGCTGAAGCAATACTTCTATAGCAGTGTTCACTGTCATTTACAGTTGACCTGTTATCTGGAAACCCGCATTTTACTGTAAACCAGCCATACAGAATCTGGAAACCTGCCTTTTACTGTAAACCAGCAATACAAGATCTGGAAACCCGCATTTTACTGTAAACCAGCCATACAGAATCTGGAAACCTGCCTTTTACTGTAAACCAGCCATGCAAGATCTGTAAATCTGCCTTTTACTATAAACCTGCATTTTACTGTAAACCAGCCATACAAGATCTGGAAATCTGCCTTTTACTATAAACCAGCCATACAAGATCTGGAAATCTGCCTTTTACTGTAAACCAGCCATGCAAGATCTGGAAATCTACCTTTTACTATAAACCTGCATTTTACTGTAAACCAGCCATACAAGATCTGGAAATCTGCCTTTTACAATAAATCTGCCTTTTACTATAAACCAGCCATACAAGATCTGGAAATCTGCCTTTTACTGTAAACCAGCCATACAAGATCTGGAAATCTGCCTTTTACTATAAATCTGCCTTTTACTGTAAACCAGCCATACAAGATCTGGAAACCTGCATTTTATTGTAAATCAGTCATACATAATCTGGGAATCTGCCTTTTACTATAAACCTGCATTTTACTGTAAACCAGCCATACAATATCTTGAAACCTGCATTTTACTGTAAACCAGTCATACAAGATCTGGAAACCAGCCTTTTACTGTAAACCAGCCATACAGGATCTGGAAACCTGTATTTTACTGTAAACCAGCCATACAAGACCATTTCAGACCTTACAACACAGGCTAACTGACTTTACTCCTCAAAATAATACCTTACATAATGTTGGGCAGATTGTACATGTTCCATTGGGCTCATTTATCAAGTCTATTATCCAGTTTTTCATTGAAAATTTATATTTGCATAAGCATACTGGTATTAAAATAATAATGACAGCATCAATTTACAAAGATCAATATTTAATCATACAACAGATTTCATTAACATACTTATTATATAAACTGACACAGAAATACATGTAATAGAAAAATTAGTCCAGTGTAGTGTATTTACTATTTTATTACAATGATATTAATAATAATTTGCATCTAAAATTGCACTGCAATCTCAGAATGGTTACAGATTGGTGAGATGGTAAATATACAATGATTGAAATGTAAAATGACATGCACTCAAAATGATGGAACACAACATATTTGAGGAGGTATTGTACACCTAGTTACCCGTCATCTGATCGGTGTATCACAGCTAAACCGTCCTCATTACTTACAGCTACTACACAGTAAAACGGACAACTATCATCCTTCTCTCGGTATATGACAGCATTGGTCTACACTGATTAACGTCTTTCATCTTTAACATCACACAGTACAACCATGAGGAAGGGTGGAATACACAAAATAATGACAAGTTGAACACAAGTTTTTACATAGATGACAATCCTATCTCAGTGTTTGTTGTTTGGCTTTTGTAGGATGTTGAGGAATTTTCCACGTGTCATTTCCCTGGCTGTAATAAGGAAAGAAACATCATTAAAACTCTTATATCAAAATTTACTAAACCAGAAAAATCTTTTAGATGTCATAACAAGGCAAAAGTCTGGAGCCAGTACATCCTAGTTTTATGTTGCATTAAAAACCTTCATCCTTGAGCAAGGAGTTGGGTACTACCCATATATCACTATTAGATGTATTGATGACTGTTTTAGTTTTTGACTGACGTTACAGTACAGTACAAATGCTCTTACAGCATCATGTTTTTTTTATACTGACTAAATGATATACATACCTCACAATACACATAAAACTGTAATTATAAAATGTGGGATTCTACAGAGTTTTGTCATGGTATTAAACAGTAAATACATATATACTATCAAAACACATTTTTGCATTATTTTCAGCAAGTGTTTGGTACGACTGCACAGATTACTGAAGATTCCAAAACAAAAAACAAATTGACCGATGATACAGATAAACAAAACAATTTGCCAGGATATACAAGAATGTATCCAGATATGAAACAATTTCATGATTTGTTTCAGCTGTAATACTGACCTTCATCTAGACCCAGTTGGTAGGCCAGATTCTGTAGACCCCTTATCTTGTCAATCAGCTGTGATGTTGTAAGACTACCAAACTCTGTAATTAGACATACATTTTTAACATGAAGCTAACACATGGGTCTGGAGGTCTGGTAGCATACCAAGTTATCAAAATGTCCTGAAATTTAGCAACATGTTAGTTACTTTTCACCATATGAATCTTGAGAATCCCTGTACACGTTACAATAGTACATTTGTGTTACATTAGTACATATGTATGCCATTGAGGTCGGCATGAACTACTTTATGGTTTTAGTAATTCTGATTGGAAAATAAAGTCTGAATCACTTAATATCACAAAAGGGACTTTCATAGAATAGGAAATAAGTTGACCATCCATCTTCACCTTGTAAAAGCCCAATGTCTTCTGATTGTAACTCTGACATCCATGTAGGCTGGGGACTGGACAATGGCTGAAAAATGAAAATGAAAAATTACTCCTGGGAAGCGTGGTTTATTCTTCCATCAATATTATGTACCGTGATCAAGAGGTACATGATTTCATACACTATTAACATATTTTTCCCAATGAGTCTTCAAGAAGATAATATATATTTTGACCCAAATATGTAAACAAGCTGCATTATATAGTTCTAGTAATGCGACATCATAATAATGATAATCACAAAATCATGCTCTCTATGAAATGAAGTCCCCTGTTTCTATATAAAATTATTACTGTTTGTCTTCAATACTTACACTTTTAGCAGCAAACTCTGAAACTCCAGGAACTGAAAGAAAAATAGTAGAATAAGATATATCTTGGAGACAGATTTTCATAGGCTTTGTTTACTTCAATATAAATAGTGTTTGTCAAACAGTTTACATTGTAACACTATATGCATATTTGGTTGCGATTTATGTACCTCATTGTAAATATATGTATATTCAAATGCCTACCTCATTGTTCATTTATTTAATATATATTAAAAGTATGGTCATGCGATGAATCATCACTACCTGTTCTATGGTGAAATGGCTCAAAGACACTCATTGTTGCACTTGGCATTCATAAGTAGGACTGTGTAGGGAGAGCTATGATTACAAAATAAGATCCCCCATTGTATCCTAAATCATCTACCAACTAATGTTAACTAGGCAAAATTAGGGCCAAGTATCTCATCCAAGGGCAGAGGGTGGCTGATTGGTCCTGATGATGGTTTGAACTCATTGAGTCCAAAAATACAATGGAATCTGGGAGCGAGTCCGAGTATTTCACAGTTTTTGGAAAACATTACTGCCTAAAATATTTCGAACTGTACAAGAAGATTTTGAAGTTTTAGAAAAAAATAATCCTGGATGAGGTTTTGTTGTGGTTTTAGGTAGTCGTCAACAGGCACTGCAACTAGTCCAATCACAATTTTAAAGAGAAGGATTAGGCAGTGTTCTATTTAGGTCTTTGAGCTATCTGCTTTAGTCTGCTTTTATAAACCGATGTAAAGAATGTTGATATCCTTTTGGAGGTGAGGGTCTTTGATGGTGGAGCTATACTCAGGACAGATCATACTAGGGTCTTATAGGCACTTGATTTGGGTAAAGTGGGACATCGAAAGATTACGTGGTAAAAATCCTAATATAGAATTTGCTTTCTTGTAGGTCTAACTGATGAAGCGGAACTGAACTGGGTCAGTCGCTGGTGATCAGGTAGCTCAATTGGTTAGAGCGTCTCAGAGTCCTGGGTTCGAATCACTGTCTGGTCGTTGAATTTCTCTTTGTTATAAATTTCGTGTCGAGCGAAATATACCAATAGAAGGTGGTATATGGTCTCATGTGACTTCAGGGAAGAAGACTTTGATAATGGAGGGAGGAATGTAGCGGAACTGGACTGGGTCAATCGCCAGCGACCGGCCGCGGGTAGCTTAATTGGTTAGAGCATCTGTCTAGAGTTTGGAGGGTCCTGAGTTCAAACCCTGTCTGGCCTTTGCATTTTTCTTTCTCCTGTTACACTGATATGGATGGTCCATATTAGATTGTTACTTGGTGTAAGACCAAAGTATGGGTTGTTATCAATCTCAGTCAGGATGCTGTTAAGTTGGTATCTGTATGAAGTTGGTGATTTGTACCTACTCACTCTCATGATGTAACATTTCAAAACATTGAAGTACACTCTCCATGTTTTAGCCGACATTGCCAATGGATCAAGGTCTGTAGGATGAGGTAGTCTGTGTAGGAACATATGGCTCTGTATAGGAGGCAGTCATCGGCAAACAGTCTTAAGATAATTTAACGCACTGTGGAAGATCATTGATTTAGCACAGAAAAAAATACAGGCTGGAGTATAGTCCCTTGGGGCACACCGGATCTAAGACTGGTAATGAGAACCATGAGGAACTCATTTATCCAGTGGCATTAGTAGCTTACTATGTGGGACATTGTTGAAGGCTTTAATTTACAGTTTACTATAAAGTCGAGTAAGCCAAGTCGACTTGGATCTTCCTATCATACATTGATAGGATGTCATGGGTTATGTAAGGAGGAGCTGTGTCCTGCATGAGTGCGCCCCACATCTTAATCCATGCTGTAAGTGTTAAATGATATCAATGTTTTGATACTCTAGATGTTTCATGAGGCTATGGCAGATGAGCATGATATTCAGATTTCTCTAGTAGCTTACAGCAAACACTTGTCTCATTCCTTTTGTTTACCAGACTCTTTTCTTTAGCTTTGTAGCTGATCCAAAAATCTGGGGATGCCCTGTCCAGATTATCATACTTACTTTGTTCTGGCCACAGATCCGGGGACGCCCTGTCCAGTTTCTCATAGCTCATCAAGCATTCATCTTGGCCTGCAATAAAAATACAAAACAATAATCTTGTATGACTTATTACATATCAATTGCAAGTTACAGCTTGAAAAAGGGACCATTTGGTCTTGAAATCAAATGCCTAATACGTGTATTGTTTGTACATGAAGTAGAACCTTGTTACATACATATTTCCAACAGACGAATCTTAGAAAAGAACGCAAAACAAAATCTATTGGGCTAAAATAAGACCTGATGCCGACGTCCACAATTACTGGGACATTTCCAACGTCACTGGCCCTAATTAGTGAGGATTTACCTTCTTTCAAATCCTCACTTGAAGGTTACCACCAGTCTCTTTACTAATTTTGCATCCTCGTTATGTACATAGTTTTAATATAATACCTAAAAATTAGAAAAAATATTCTTTGAAATGCCACCTCCTAGGGTCAATTGCACATGTAACCATATGATCCTTGTAATGGAAGAAGAAGAAGAGTTAAAATACACAAAGATAAAGGTCACTGACTTCAAAAGAAATCCATTTTCATTCCATAATTTAACATAAATGTCTTGAAATTGAGAAAAAATCTGTACAACACCCATAGAACACTGAAATAGTTATCGATAGTTTGTGAAACATAACACAAAACGATATATTTAGAAGGGTTTAGAAGATAAGTATAGACATCACATGTTGTTTCATCCCGTTGTTAGAACATATGTGTATTGCCAATCTTTTATAAAAGGTTATATCTTATATGATACCTCTGTAGCAAAATTAAATATTTTTGAAATCGAAATGTTTACCCGCATCAGACGCCGCCATCTTGGATCAGAATGAAAAACTAAGTTTCGAACCGGAAAAAAATACTGGGCCGTAAATGCTTACACCAGGGCTACATTCGCGTTACCGGTTGAAACGGTACGTGTGGCGCAGAAATTTTCCACGATAAACGAACACACTTGGACCGTTCTATAAGCAGAGCTAAAAATCCACAGTTTCGGAGAATAAAAAACAATGTATCAAGAATATTATGCCCTTCTCTCACGCGTCCACTAAATTACATAACGTATCTTAAAAACTACATGTGGCTTGACATTGTTTTAGAAAGAAATAACGCAAACTAGCAATATTCAGCAGTTTAGTTTCGGCCAGGTACGTCTGGACCCCTCAATCTACACGTACCAAATTTTCCTGAGGTCAGCCTCGGTCCAAATCTGTACCTGTCGTTTTCTTTACAGGTTCAACCGGTTCAACCGTTTCAACCGGTAACGCGAATGTACCCCTACTTTGATTACAGAGCAGTAGCAAATCCGATATTTTAGTATATTTTGTGAACACCTGTTCAAATAACACACGGAAAATACAAAAAATAGCACAAAAATAATTTTATTATAATAAATAAATAAAAAATCTTAAAACTCAATATGATACCGTCAGTCTAGTCTGGTCTAGTGTAACCAGGCTGAAGCTGTTAACGTTAAACACATTTTCAAAGAAATTCAAATCTGGAGACACAAAAATGTAAATTATTTGTAGATGATAAAATATGACAAAACTAGAAAAGCTAAACCAAAACTACACACACACACACACGAGAGACAGGGCCGGGTTAATGAACCTTTTGTTACTCAAATATTAGCTCACGCACTAGTCATTGGCCGCACGCCGTTTCCGTCAGTATCATCAACTCGAGCTTCTTCTAAAGAACCATAAGACCTAGAATGTAGTTGGTTATTATACAAATGTCTTTTTTTTCCAGAAGAACTTTTTAGCGGTATGAATAGGCATTGAGTAATGATTGAATGATTACCGATTGAATAGCTAATTGCTGGATGGACGATGAAAGACCACATATCAAGTATAATATGTTCAAATAAATTACTTCTTTGGCCCACGTTTAAGGTCACAGGGAAAAAATAACTCCTGATGACGCACGAGGCGTAGAGAAATAGTATTTTAAATATTCCTGTCATTATTAAATACTCGAAACAAATGTCATGCTCTTCTCTCGTTCAAATAGACACAATTGAGTGATACAGGTCCCATGTACCGTGCTATTACACTTACCTATGGCAAGCCAAGTTGTCATTTATTCATGGAGCAACGTTGATCCAGTACTTAACCAAATTATATAAGATATCTTATATATTATATAAGGGGGGTTCTGGTTGCATTTTGGTGCATTCCCAGGATCAAAGAAAAGATTTCATAGAGCTTGTTTTAACATAAATATGAGGATGTGTTTTCTCTCCTTGTGGTTGACTGAGAAGTGATAATAAGTTATAATTCATGAAGTCATCAGGCACTTCAGGTAGTTATGGAACTTGCATTACTTGCAGGAAAACAAGCATTTCTCAAATAATCTGCTGCCAGTTATCAGTATACAATGCCTACTATGAATTTATCCTTTACAAATACCATTGTTTGTATGAATTACACATTCTGACAAAACTAGAGCGTAAATTATTTGAGAAAGTTTGTTTATAAATAACAAAAACATCAAATATCAATTAAATATTGTTTTAATTACTCCAAAATAATTTATTACAACATATTGAAAAGACAGAAGCACTTTCACATCCACTCTCAAACGAATATAGTTTTGACACTTTTTGATAAATACAGAACCTACACACATACACTAAATAATTGAAAACTTAACATTTCACAAAAACAACAGCATTCTCCACATTGAGCACACCATAACACACTTCCATAAAGAAACTGCAGCTATTCTCGGATTACTTCACACCAGTATATAAACAAAGCACTAAAAACTGTCACACTTTGGTACATTCGTTCCTTACAGTTTTTCAATGGTTCTTATTTTTTCAATATCACTAATGTCTACTTAAAAGGTGAAAGAACTCCTCCTGTTCTTTTGGCTGGCACATCTGTCAACACATCTCCTGAAGTCAAACTCGGTTGTCGGGGCACCTTCCATTGTAATGACGAGCAGGGGATCAATTATCTTGTTGCACAGTCTGTTTCTCTGTTCTGTTTTGATTCCTTTTCAGGTAGAAAAAAAAACTCTCGCAATCAGCTATTGAGGTAGGGATTAGCAGGCCAGCAGCAGCTTCCGGCTGTTGGGAGAGTTTACCAAAAGTTGTGCGTTGGTTCGTCAGCAATCTCTGGAGCCATGTTGATAACTGCCCTCCATTGTATAAGTCCAGATACAGTGTCAATGCCAAAATGCTCAGTCAGCAACTTTATGTCCTTCCTCCACACACTGAAAGCTTCAAGCAAAGTCAAATAAGGAAACCGCTTTTCCAAGTTTTGCACAACACTGTCGATATACTTGTCGATATACTTGTCCTTCTTGAAGGAGTCCTTCCACTTCTGGGTGGGCACAGAAAATTTAAGAGGTTTGGCGGCCAGGGATGTAACGGTGTTATCTAGTTCCTGGAAGTGCCGTCCGGGGTTGTCCTTGAGGGATTCCACAGCACGAATCGTCCCAGCAACCAGGGATCTCACCAAGATGTAATCCATGTATCTCTTCTGCATTGCCTTGGATAACTGCGACAAGATTGGGAGAACATCTGACAGCATATGCAGAGTGGCAATAAACTTGTAGTTCTGAATAAAAACAGAAAGACCCATGGCATGCACATCTGAGCGTTCTTCTGCCTATCGCTCCAAGCTGACAATGACAGATTCCAGGCACTTCCTCGCCGACTGGATTGCAGCATCGTGGCTCAGCCAACCCACATCCTTAGCCTTTGTTATCTTGATGCGTGGATCGCTGAGGACATACTGAAAAGGATTGTAGAGCAGATGTTCTCTTAGTCTCATAGTCGTATGATTGTCTTATAGCAACGCGCTTTTTAGTGAATTTCCGTCTAGCTCTATTTTTAGAGCGGCGGTGGATCCCCAGTAGTTACAAATTGCTTCCTTAACCTCTATGTGATGTTAGGGAGACTTCTAGTTCCGCGCTAAAGATTTACAGATAAACGAGGAATTTGATTAACGAGTTTAAGATCTTTTCTAATAATACTGTAATAGAGGAGACTTTAACATGTAGCATGCTATGTTAAAGGAATATCTCATTATGCAGCCAACTGACAGAACTTGATCTAGAAAACCGATAAGAGGAGGATCTGGACTTAGGCAATCGACGCTCAATTGATTAGATCGTCCGCTTGGAGCGAGAGGCAGAAGAACGCTCAGATGTGCATGCCATGGGTCTTTCTGTTTTTTATTCAGAACTACAAGTTTATTGCCACTCTGCATATGCTGTCAGATGTTCTCCCAATCTTGTCGCAGTTATCCAAGGCAATGCAGAAGAGATACATGGATTACATCTTGGCGAGATCCCTGGTTGCTGGGACGATTCGTGCTGTGGAATCCCTCAAGGACAACTCCGGACGGCACTTCCAGGAACTAGATAACACTGTTACATCCCTGGCTGCCAAACCAGTTGATTAGATCGTCCGCGTGGAGTTCGGATTTTCACCTGTTGTATCTCCCTATGCTGTTATAAAGGAACGCCTGTTAGGGAATCCTACAAGTAAAGTCAGTTGGCTTAATTTCCAAGGAACGTCATAGACGCCACAATTGAGTTCATGTTAAATGAACGAAACGTCATGTTTCAAAGGTACACTGAAGAATGTGATTTGTGGAAACCTTGAAGGAACGTCAGCCGATTTTTTTTCCATAGAACGGCTCTAGAGGACGTCAATCGGGACACGTTTAGAGCAGGTAAGTTGGTCACGTATCCAAATAAATTCAGTTTTGTGTTTTGTCAAGGAAAGCCTTATCCTATAGTAATGTCAGTTAACATATTGAAGGGACGCAAGCGTAGTTACATACTCAGTCGAGAAGCCTGTTAGCAGATATGGTCGCTTATCTTAACACATTCACGAGTTGCCAATGTAGTTACATATTCAGTAAACTCTTGCTAGGGCAATGAACACATGCCCGGAACACATTCCATGCACGATATTTGCGACCATAATGTGATATTACAATATACAACACCATTGAAATAAACGCCCTTTTTATCTGTAATGCAGTCAGAGTGCGTCTTAAAGGAAAGATTTTTGGACAGATCTAGTAATTTTGGAAGGCCATGCAGATTGTGACAAAATCAATGGACCCCAGGTAGACTCTTGTGTCAAGTAAAATGAACATCAGTCAGGGGGAATTAAAGGAAGCTAGATGGCATGGGATCACATTCAAAGGGTGTAATATAGAGACACCTGCTATAAGTCAGATGGGAAATCCTCCGCCTGACGTTAGCTGAATGGACCCAGGACACTTTCGGTGATGTTACCCGATGACATTAATCGTCAAACCTTCAGGACTTCAGTCAGTCAACAGAACTTCATAACATATTAATGTGGAATCAGTTAGAGTACACCTTCAAGGGATGCAGCCTGTACTTGAATCTTTAGGGGATAGCTTCAAGAGGCGCAAGTTGGGGATGTATTCAATGGGCACCAATTTGTAGCTCATTCAAGGATATCAAGGTACGCGTACCTCGCGTGAATTTGGAATATTTTGGCACTTCCGTTAGGGACCAACGTTCGATGGACGAGAGTTCGGTTTGGGATAATTTAAGGTACATCAGTTAGGGACACCATTCGATGGACGTAAGTCGGAGACATCCGTCAAGGACGTACGTAATTGGGAAACCTTAAGGATGTCAATTGGTGACACGCTTAAGGAACAGTTTTTTTTTGTGTGAATATATCTGAGGGATGTTATCTGGGAATACTTTTGAAACATGCCTGTTTGAGACGTCTTCATTTGACATCAGGAAGCGACACCTTCAATGGACGTCAATTTGAATTAAGGGATGTCAAACACAATCCCACTAGACGTTAATTAGGGGAAATATTACGGGGATGTGAGCTACAATTACGGGAAATATTAAGGGGATGTGAGCTACAATTAAGGGAAATATTAAGGGGATGTGAGCTACAACTACGGGAAATTAAGGGATGTAGGAAGACTTATTAAAGGGACGTAAGTTGAGAACAATGCATATCAGTTGGGAACATAATTATTCAAGGGATCTCAGTTCAGGGATGTCATTTGGGACCTATTGCATTGTAAGGAACATGGTTGTAAATAGTCTGGGGACGTCAGTTGTAGAAACCTAAAAGCACATGATTTAAGGACCTGTTCAAAGGGTGTCAGTTTGGGTCGTTATAGTACGACTATAGCGAAATCTCTAAGGAATGACAGCTGGGAAGAGCCATGGGTAATCATTACTTTATAGATCCATTTGTGTTTTTATAGTTATTTTGAACTTTGAACTGTGAAATTCCAGCTTTGTTAATCGCACGTGACAACAAGAGTGTTTTGATACATAGTTGCCCAAACATACAACCACCCAGAATAATTGCTGAATCACAGCTTTACCCGGTTAGTATCCGAGTTAATCATGTTAAAAATACTCAAGTAAGTATTATATACCGAGTCTGTAGGAATAAGGATAATTCCATCAATGATCCGCGACATGGCACACTTAAAGTAATAAGAAACAGACGTCAGACTAAAACATGTGAATGTTTATTTTGAAAACAGGTACATGACAGCAATATTTTGTGCATAATATTGGTTAAGTTTACTTAGTAATGATGATCATGGTCAAAGTCCTGAATAACACTACCTACGCTATGATCATGGTCAAAGTCCTGAATTACACTAGCTCACTACCATCATGATCACGGTCAAAGTCCTGAATTACACTAGCTCACTACATCATGGTGCAATGAGGACTTACAAATACAGGATTATATACATAGATACATGTATTTCAACATGTAAATGGTCTCATAACAAACGAGACAGGAGCCTAGCTCAGATCAGTAACACACACACACAAATACACATATTTAGCACACCTTAAATTTCCTCTCTACTATTATTCAACATGAAATATTTCAACAGACATATGATGTTTTCAGAGATTTCTAAAAATAAATAATTGTGTTAATTAAAGCAAGCCGATAAAGAGTTTATTTGAGAAGTAAACTACCACAAGCATACAATCGCTGAATAGATATTAGTATAAAACTTCGGAAGCAGCAAGCACAAAACTATTTTGATTTCAGTGATTAATAACCATACTCACAAGAACAACAACTGACTTAATAGATTGAGGATTACATTATCATGGTTCAAATCTTTCTAACAAAATTTCACAAAAAATATAATTTCCTCTTTTAGATGGATTTGCTATTTTTAAATATCTCATTTTAAAAGAAATCAAGGTAAGAAATCAGGGCAAAAGATTCTGACTACATTGTAACTTGATTTTGTAGTTTTGAAATAAATAAATATTTTTGAGTAAATGCCTATCAAAAGGAATGCTACAAAAATAGAGCTACCCTATGCAGTTATCCATTTGAGCATACAACAAAATCTGTTTATATCCAAAACAATGTAAATGTTTAGCAATAACAAGGTGTAAAATGTGGCACGTTTCTATCACAAGTGGAAGTCTCTATCGTCCCAACCTTCCCTTTACATGCTGGCATCATCATCAACAACAACTCTGTGGTATAGCACTATCGCATCACCGGCATTGCTGTCTGCTTCTGTCCGATCGATGCATCATCAGCCCTCCACATCTGTGTGACAGTCTTCAGCTGAGTGTAGAACTGGACACCCTGCAAAAACACCAATTTTACAATTACTGATAAAACAGTATACTGTCACACCTATATATTTACTTTAATTCTCACCTTTAGATCCTGAGTGAAATACATCTGATTATTTATACTTATAATCCTCGTGATCTGTCAAAGCTGAAAGCAAAGTTTAATGTGAAGTGAAACAATCTTGTTCGGTATCTAAAAAGGAAGAACTCTTATTTCAAAGGTAAAAAAAAATGCAAATAGAAGTGAAGCAGTAGAACCTACTACTGGTTTTAAGATGGTGCGATTCACTCACCCCTTTCCCATAGAAGTTCATATCTCCCTTGAAGGATCCTCTGGAGCCAGTGAAGGAGAACATCGGTAGAGGCACAGGGATGGGCACATTAACACCAATCTGTCAATAAATAATAAAGCCCAATCTTCAGCAAATTCAAGTAAAGTTTAAATGAAAACAGTCAAACAGAACACCACAAATGTTCATTGATGGAAAGGTCATGAAACATGTTCAATTTACAAAGCCAAATGTATACACAGTGACCTAGTCGAGGCTCCGCTGTATATGTAAGCTTCAAGGGTCCACTATAAATGTAAGCTTTGAGGGCCCGCTATACATGTAAGCCTCGAGGGCCCATTATAAATGTCAGCTTCGAGGGCGAGCTATATATGGTAGCTTTGAGGGTCCACTATAAATGTAAGCTTTGAGGGCCCGCTATACATGTAAGCTTTTAGGGCCCATTATAAATGTCAGCTTTGAGGGCGAGCTATATATGTTAGCTTTGAGGGTCCACTATAAATGTAAGCTTTGAGGGCCCGCTATACATGTAAGCTTTTAGGGCCCATTATAAATGTCAGCTTTGAGGGCGAGCTATATATGTTAGCTTTGAGGGTCCACTATAAATGTAAGCTTTGAGGGCCCGCTATACATGTAAGCTTCGAGGGCCCATTATAAATGTCAGCTTTGAGGGCGAGCTATATATGTTAGCCTTGAGGGCCCGCTTCATATGTAAGCTTCTTGATTATACCGGTTTACAAAAGTTATAATATATCTCATAGTACGCAATCAGACATTTACAGATGTAAAAGTTCCTTTAAATGTTTACTTACCTGGCCTACATGAGATATAACAGAAGTAAAGTGGTTTTGAGATACTTAGGCCAAATAAACATGTAGCTGTGTGTCCCGTTTCCCGACCGACCCTATTTTTTTCATGCCGACCCTAATACATCTTACTGGTTTTTCATAGTCACGGTTATGCATTTATTAGCCGTTTTAGTCAATTTAAGAGGTCTAGAAATAAAGAGGAAAAGTTATAATTAAAGTGAGAATTAGGAAGTTAGAAATAATAGTAGTTTTAGCTGTAGTTTGTAGATCTGTGTAGTTTTACAGTTTATAGTTGGAGATAAGTTTGGAGTGGAGAGATTGAGTTCACAATGGTGAAGACTTGTATATTTTATTACGGATTAAAAAACTTGTGTTGTAAATTTAGTGTAAATATAAATGTACTAATTTTGTTATTCAATTATTTGAACTGGTGGCAGTGAAAATTTAGAACAGACAGCATCAGTTATACAAAAGAGAATATAACACTGGTGACCCTCAGTGGAGTTTAGATTACTTAATTTAGAAATGTAACACTTAAATAGTGGCACCACTACTGTAAATTAAGTTGGTTACTCCATAAACATATCATTATTATATTAGGTAAGTCAAATAATAATATGTTGTGTACTTCAATGAGTTGTTTAGGCCTCCTCAACACAAGAAGTAAGAATAAGGGATTTTTTTTATTTGTGTATATTTATTTTACATGAATAAGAAAATAAATGTTTGGTGCCATTCATACTTAATTAAAACAATAACACATTTTTTAACAGTCACAGAGGTAATCAGGAGATTTTCTTCACCAGTTAAAAATAAAGAAAAAATGTTTTTCCTACCTACCTACCCTTTTTTTTTTGAGCCGAAACAGGAAATACACATATTTGTATTTGGCATTACCTGGCTTACATCAGATATATCAGAAGTTAATTGGTTTTGAGAAACTTACCCGGATCAGATATATCAGAAGTTAATTGGTTTTGAGATACTTACCTGGCCTACATCAGATATGTGAGTGGTTTTGAGATACTTACCTGGCCTAGATCAGATATATCAGAAGTTAAGTGGTTTTGAGATACTTGCCTTAACAGAAGTTAAGTGGTTTTGAGATACTTTCCTGGCCTACATCAGATATAACAGAAGTTAATTGGTTTAGAGATACTTACCTGGATCAGATATATCAGAAGTTAATTTGTTTTGAGATACTTACCTGGATCAGATACATCAGAAGTTAATTGGTTTTGAGAGACTTACCTGGATCAGATATAACAGAAGTTAATTGGTTTAGAGATACTTACCTGGATCAGATATATCAGAAGTTAATTTGTTTTGAGATACTTACCTGGATCAGATATAACAGAAGTTAATTGGTTTAGAGATACTTACCTGGATCAGATATAACAGAAGTTAATTGGTTTAGAGATACTTACCTGGATCAGATATAACAGAAGTTAATTGGTTTTGAGATACTTACCTGGATCAGATACATCAGAAGTTAATTGGTTTTGAGAGACTTACCTGGATCAGATATAACAGAAGTTAATTGGTTTTGAGATACTTACCTGGCCTACATCAGATATAACAGAAGTTAAGTGGTTTTGAGATACTTACCTGGCCTACATCAGTTTCCATGGTGAACTTGCGAGCTGCTGCACCGTTAGTTGTGAAGATGGCGGTACCATTGCCGTAAGGATTATTGTTTATGCAATCGATGGCATCGTCTAATGTGTCCACCTCCAAGCTGACCAGAACAGGTCCAAAGATTTCCTCTCTGTAGCACTTCATCTCAGGCTGTAAATAGGAATGTTTTAATATCAAGGTTTCTTTTTCTGCATAAAATATCACTATCTTGAAATGTATTCTCGGATACATAAGGGAAAAAATAAATAAAAATAAGTCAATATCATTATCAGAACTGCTTGAATGCCAAACATAAGTCATACCTTGACTTGGTGAAGCATGGTTGGACCAACAAAGTTTCCCTTCTCATATCCTTTCACTTGACAGTCTCTCCCATCCAGTAAGAGTTCAGCACCCTCGTCTACACCAGACTGCACAAGGTCAAGGACACGCTGCTTTGCCTCAGGTGAAATCAAGGGTCCAAGGTCAGCGTTGGGTTCATGACCTGATAGTCATTCAGTCAATATACAAATGATAATGAGCAGAGGCCAAGAAACAAACAGTCAAATAAATTGATACACATCCTTCACTGTAATCATAAAGATATAGCACAATTGATAGAAATGATAACTTGACTTGTATATACCAAGATGGATTTGCTAGCGGAATCTACCGCAACACAATGAAACACCTTGTCCATTCGTTAGTTACTACCACTCATAACTACGGAATAAAACAAGAGGCCCAATGGGCCTGCATCGCTCACCTGGTATAAAACTCACACTTGTAACCTTAAAAGTGATCTAAAATAAAGCTACAGGCAAAATATCAGTATTTATGATTAAAATTCGTTCAAAAGACCCTGTTCATTTTTTTAAAAACATTTCACCCCTGTGATTGAAAGTCGAACAAAGTCATTATGTTGAACACATTGTATAGCCTTTCATCTCAGGATGCAACTTGCAAAGTATAAACATCCTGGGACCCATGGTTATTCATAAGAGGTTGTTTAAAGATTTTAAACAAATTTGACCCCTGTGACCTTGAATATAAGTCAAAGTCATTCACTTTAACAAACATAGTAGTCCTTGATCCCAGCATATGCTACTAACTAAATATCAACATCCTGAGCCTTTTGG